ACTTGCAGGGGGTTGTCTTGCTGAGGTCCAGGTGTGTGTGCTCGATGATTTGTAATCTGGATGATTTTCCAAGGCTACATTATAAAATACATGAATTTGCATTTGTAATGACCAGATAAAAACGTTGGTACAAAATGTGTTTCTCACCTCTTCTCGTTATGGACAGATAATCTTTCTTTTTTTGGTGTGTTTTTTTTTGGTTATTATTTCAGTGAAATTGCACATCTAGTATGATATTATAGATTACTAAATAAAGGGGCTGGTGGTAATTTTCTGGCCTTTAATAAAAATCTGAATAGAGATCTATGCTTTCTCTCATCTGGGAATTAATGCGGACTTTATTGCTCCACGAGTTTAACATTTTCAGTGTTTTTTTCTGCTCAGATAGAGCAGCCCTTGCCGTTTAGGGGGTGTTATTTACAGCTATATACATGTTTCTCCAGGTGGCCAGTGAGGCCCTTTGCTGTGCCCAGGACGAAGGCCGCTTTCCCGTCTTTCCCTCCTCACTTTCCTGCGGATAACGCTCCACGTTTTGCAGCCCCTCCGTGGCTCCCTGCCCCGACGTGCAGGGAGGGACGTGCCGGAGCCCCCGGAGCAGTGCCGGGAAGTTCGGCTGCCTGGTTTGGAAGCTCCGCTTTGGGCAGCGGCCGGGAGCAGCGGGATGCTCCGGGCGGAGGCCGCGCGTCCGGAGGAGCCTCGCGTCGGGCTCGCCGCGTCCCGGCGCTTCCATCCTGCCTCGGAGAGGACCGGGATTTTCGGTGTCCCGCCCTTCCGAGAGATGGACGTGTCCAAGTGTTTGCTTGACGTGTCCCCGCTTTGATCTTCTTGCTCTGCGGAAAATGCAGTCAGGTGCAAAACATATAACCGAAACAGTCGTTTTTTTACTGCTTTTTAACTAATAGGAACGTTTCATTGAGTTGTTGATGAGCTTTATGGTTTTATTGTTACACCAGGAAACTTGTCTCCTGTCAGGACCCTGATTTTCAATGTTTAGGCCCTTTGGTTGCCTTTCCTTTGCAATCCGATGCCGTGATGCCGGCAGGGCTGGAAGGAGCCGGGCTGTCCGTCTGCCCGGAGAAGTTTCTTGGAGCTCTTGGCCAGGGCGCAGCCCTCCTGCGCGCGCCGCGTTGGCTGCTCAATCTCCCCTTCTCATCATTAGCCACGCTCCTTCTGTGGCCTTTACATGCATTAAAGAGAAAAATGCCTTTTCTGGCTCCTCTTTTTTTTTTTTTTTTTCCATTTTTTTTTTTGATAATGATTGCCCTTTCCTATCTAGCGTGTTGCTTATGCTGTGGGGGTGTTTTTATGGAAGGGCCAAAAACATCTGAGTGTTTGATAGACAGATATTGTTGTTATTCTATGCTTTACATTATTTTTCTCCAATTATAACTTGTGTGCATTGCACATAAATGTCAGTCCTATACAATTACCAAAGACCAGAATTTCTATCATGCTGCTTCCTATCTCAGTGCTGTAAGGGAATGTTTTAATAATCTGTACTAGCCCCTAGCTGGTGGGTGTTGCCCAGAGGTCCATAGAGGGGTATGAAATTTTTAGGAAATGGAATATGAACAGTTACTTGAGCTCAAAATGCTTTCTGATCCTTTTAGGCTGTTTATCTAAAGTAAGGAAATAACAGGGCTTTTGCAGGAGAAAAATGATTCCTGCCTATGGCTGCTGGTGGCTCTCCCCTGTGCTGCTCAGGGGTCGTAAGGCAGTTCCTCAAGTTGTTGTTGTAGTTTGTTGTAGTTTTTGTTGTCATTTGCTTCTCCAAACTCCGTCTGTCCTTGATAAGAGGAGGAATGTGTCAATAAAATACTGTTTTTTGTGCTTCGTGTTAGCTACCTGAGCATTTTTGTACAGCTACTGTATATAACAGGAGGATGCTTCGGGAAAGGAAGCGAGCCTTGAAAAAAATCTTCTTTGTAAAGGAAATAGCATCATTTTACTGAACAGAAATTTCCTAATTTATACATTCCCACAGGAATCCCAAACGATTCAGCTCTTGAAACGGGTAGGGCAGAAGGTTTGGTCTTATTGGAGCCTGTGTCTGAGTGTCTTAAGCACCACCAAATTAGACAAATAATATCACTTTAAGATCCAATAATTTAAGCCGATTTATTTCTGAAAAAATAGGGGCTTAGATCAAATAATGCCAGATATGCTGCTTTGGTTTGAAAATTACCAATTCTTATTATGAATTCTTCTCCTTGATATTTTATGGCAGAAAGTTTTTATGAGAAATAAAACATTCCTCTACGAATTTTGAATTTGCCACCCTTCAGTTCCATTCTGTTTCCTTGCCTTATGTAAGGCAAAGATGAGCTTTACAGCATCTCAGTCTCTTTTTTTACAGGTCGTTTGCTCTTGTGAGGTATTGCGTGATACAAATAACTTCTCTATTTTCAGTTTCTTTTATAATTATTGTCTTTTTCATCTCCCAGTGATGAAAGGTGGACCAGAAAAGCTGCAGTCATTGCTGTGCCAAACAAACGTGTCCTGGTCCTTTTCTGAGTGAGATCAAACTCCTTTTCAAGGATAGCTGGGCTCGCTGTTCTTTGCTCTTTTCCTGTTGAGACAGATTTACTAGAGCTGGGATATATAATATTTCACATGAAGGCAGGGCACCGACGTACGGAATAGATTACAATGAAATTATATAGCTGTGCTCTCTGCTTAATTTTTCTCATTTCTTGGGCGTCCTTCTCGTTGCGGGCAGGCGCTGAGCTCTCTCCAGCTGTCCCCAGCGCTGCTGGCCCTGCCACCGCTCGTCGCGAGTGACACGTCCCCCCCAGCTGCACTGCGTGGCATTTGTCAGCATTGCGGTCACCCTGCTCCGTGCTATGGCCACTGCACGTGCTCACAGCTCCTGGTGTCCCCATCTTTGTGCCTGGATTACTGCTTTTCTCATCCCTTAATTAAAGATTCTGGCGCTTCAGCATCAACTTATTTGTCTTTCCAAGCTCCTGCACCTGTATATTAGAAGAGACTGAACAGATGCACGAGATGGGTTTTTCCGTTTGCTCTGTGCTCCCCTTGGCTCCAAGCTGCTTCCGTAACTTCAAGTGGATCCCCACTTGTTTTGAGTAGCCAAATTGCTAGGAAACGTACATTTTGTCATTTTGTTCTTTCTTTTACTTTTTTTTGAACTTATTTTGGTTTATCAGAGGTGGGCAGAGCTAGGTAAATGTCTCTAGGAAATTGGTGGTAGGCTGGAAAGAAAACAGGAGGATGGATTTGCTTGGCTTTGAAAACCATCCGTGGGATTATCTAGTAAGGGTTTATTTGCTGAGTCTCCTGTGGCTGCAGCTCGGGGCTCTCGAGCTGCATCGTCTGCTAATGTCACAGTGCAGAGGCCGCCTGTGTGTCCAGGGGAAAATCTGCTTTGTATCAGTAAGTGGGAAATCTCCTCAGTTATGGCCTTGCTCTATTTTTGTCAAACAAATCTGATATCGTAAAGCCCTCCTGCAAGGTTAGGGAAAAGCTTTAATTATAACTTTGGGCAGCTCAGGTAATACAGCCAGGCAGTGTCAGTCGTGTTTGCAGGGGAAGAACACGGCGCTCAGGGGTTGTCACTCGTGTCTGTTAGTAGAGCTGTAGAAAACTTTAAGGCTTGCAGGGTTTGCGTTTATCAAATGCAAAGCTAAAACACATTCGTGTAAAATACATGCAAATTGATCACCATCACATCAAGGTTTGTTAGGCATTTTATTAGAGATGTTGTGAGAGATGAGTCCTGCAGTTAAGCTGTTCCCAACCAGTATATATTTTTAAAAAACAATAAGCACCAAATTTCAAGTGTTGAGACACTGGTTTTAGCACAGTTGTTTCATTAGAAATACTATTTAAGGAAGGTCCAGTGCTGCAGTACAGTAGGCTTGCTGTGTACAAATACAATTTTAAAAGGATGTGCTACATGTTCCTAAAGAATTTAGCGTTAAAAGTTGAATGTGTATAATCAAATGTTTGCTTGAAATATAATAATGATTAATCCCTGGAATATCTTTGGATATACACCTCAATTGCAAACTTTTTAATGATTTAATTGTACAGACTTGATTTGCAGGAGTTTGTGCTTTCCTGTCTTAAGGGGATGCTAATGGCAATCTAAAGCAGGTGCTAACCCATCTCTGCTCCTCTTTGGTGGCTGATGGCACGGGCCGTGTTTCCAGCAGGGTTTTTGGGGTGCACTTTAATAGTGGAATAAGCTCCTTCCCACCTTGAACCCCATGACAGCCCGTCCGTGGCGCTGCCCCCGTGGTTGCTCCTGTGCTGGTGCTCCCTCTTCACCCTTGGGAATTCACCAAGTCTCCGTTCCGCGTGGCGTTTTCCCTGTCCTCCAGCATTGCCTCAGTGTCCTTGCACGGCCCTATAGACAACAGCTGTTTTCCAGTTGCTGTTTTGGGTTATTAATGCCTGTGTGTTTAATGACTCTTGCGTGGAAGATCCTTACAGTAGGGTTTTCTACACCAATCATTTCTCCATTTTTCAGTCTCCTGAGGGCCTTTCTGGTACGTGTCCCTGAATGGCCTCCTCAGTGGGGATGAGCCTCCTATGCAGACCTTCCTCGCCTGCTCACGTGGCTTGTTTAAGGCTCCTAATGGTGATTTTTGTGTTAATTAATTTGCGGCCATTTTCTGAGCACTTTGGCCTCCAGCTGGAGAAGCACTTTCTGTCCCAAGCTAATACCTGTAATTTAAGAACTGCTCATCCTCTGTCGAGGGGTTAATGACTCGTGGTGGAAGGTCTAGGTCTACTGCGCTCCTACCAGCAGCTGTGGGTAACGGAGCGCTCTCCAAGCTGGTCTAGCAGCAACAAACCCATTCTCCCCTGCCAAGTAGCTGCTCGAGCTACGGGTTGAGGTGATGCAACGCAAAGGAGTATAGGGAAGGAAGGAATAGCCACCAAGGCGTGAGGAACCGCGCGGGGGGAGGCGGCGCGCGCGGCGGGACGGTGCTGAGAGCACAAAGCGCTCACGAGGCTTCGCGCTGTCGTTGCAGAGCCCGGCGGAGCAGGCCAAGGCCCGGCTGCAGCTCGTGCTGGAGGCGGCAGGTAAGCGCGGCCCGAGCGCCCCGGGAGCGCGGTTCTCTCCCTGCATGGCCTTGAATTCTTGCATATGCACATATGTACTTATGTGAGGTGGTAGAACTGCACGGAAACACATTTTGCACAGTGTTATCTTTGCCTGGGAGCAGCAAGAAGAAAGGCAAAGTGCCCGCTGTATCTAACTCTTTTGAATTTGGACACCTTCAATATAACTAAGAATTGGAGGGATTCTGCGTTTGCCCGTTGTGTCCGAAGCCCTGTGGGAAGGGCCTGGGTCTCGATGTGGTGGTAGCAGCTTCTCCCCTCCATGGGCTGCGGTGCCCATGGGCTCCACGTTGGAGCCGAGCGCCCAGGATCGCCCAGGGCCCGACGCTGCCGTCCCGGCGCGATGAGCGTGTGAGCACGGGGTGAATAATGACACGGCTTTGTTTGTAAAGCACGGACGGGGCTGTGGGGGCGTCCCATTATCTTAAAATCATTAAAAATAATCATTTACCCCTCTATAACGTTAGCCTGGAGTAGTGTTTGTGATTAGTTTCTATACCTTCTGTTCCCTATTTTCACTTTTCCGTTAAAACTTTGTTGGTTTGTCCCTAAAAATGAAGATTTGCAGCATGTCATACATGTGGTAATAAATACCTACTGTAATGACTTTTGGTCCTTAGCTCAGCTTTAGGTTCTAATATTCATATTCTTAATTTATAAATGGCTACTTTCCAGACATATAATTTTTTATTTATTTTTTTCTCTTCTGGAAAGCTTTTGTTTGAAAGGGAAATGCATCTTCTGATATTTCTGAATTTCTTTTTTCAAAAATGCATCTAGCCCTTTATATTGTACAGCTTCAAATGCCTTCATTGTTCTCCATAACTTTTAATAAATCTTTGAAGCATATAATTATAAAATAGATGTGACAGCACGGACCAAAAAAAGCACGATTTGTTTATACTACTCACATCTGTCACACCTCATTTTTTAATTTAACACCTGGGAAATGTATAAAAGATATCTGTGAGTTATATATCATCATGACCCGGGTTCCGGAAATTTCCAAAAACATTTAAAATGCCTGTGACACTTTTTAATTTAAAATTTCACAATTGGACTCTCAAACTTAGATTGAAGGTGCAAACTGGTCATAAATAACTCGAGATGTAATCTGTTTGTTTCTCTCAACATTTCAAACATAGAAAAAAGTTCTGTTCTGATTTTATTTAAGTGCTGGTAATCTTATGCATTTATGCGATGATCCTCTGCTCCCTCCGTCAATCTTGTTTTTAACCAATTAAATTGAATTTTTATTAAATTGATGCAATGACAGTTTTGGTAATTTTAATATTTTTCCTATATATTCCTTTTTTTCTGTGTTTATGCATTGCAAAATAAGCCAATTTCTTTATCTTTACATTAAAAATAAGTAAATAAATAAAACCAGAACATTACTGAACAGGTGTTTTCAGCAGAAACATATCTCATTCTGGTAATGTAAAATTGTTTTAAAAGCGTTGCTTTTTATACTAAGTTGTTGGTTTAACTTTCCAGAATAATAATCACTCAACAGTTTAGAACCAGCTTCTAACTTGATTTTCAGTGGTATTTTTGTATTATTATTTTCGTATTTATATGTTATGGCGTTGAATACTAGGTAAGTGTTGTAGGAAATGCATCCTTCCATTATTTGGGGTGACAACCACAGCCGGTGCCACGTTCGTACTGTCTGGTAACGCTGTTCCCCTTTGGAGACACGGACACAGACCAGTTTCACCTTAGCAGCTCCAAACACCCCTGGGCGCTGGGGAGGCCTTTGGGAAGGTCGCGTCTTTGTTCCTCCCTGGGGAAATGCTTCTACGTTGGCTTCTCCAACTCCTTTCCCATGACATTTCTTTCATTAATACCTCATATTAATCTACTCCTGCATTGTTTGTATTCAGATTTGTTTGTTTTGTTCTGAAGATTTCCTTATCTTACTATACTTTGAAAGTATTAACTGAGAAGAGGTTACTTGGCTTATTTAGCAAATATTTTGTTTTTTGGTGTTATGGAAATGCCTTTGGCTAAACATAACAGAAATATAGCACAAGAGCACCTTAACTGTGTAAGATATATTACAAAATATATTAAATATTAACATGCTTAAGCTACAAGCCATTTCTCTATATGTTTGTTGTGAGAGCAGTTTGACTTTAACTTCAAGCTGTCTGATGGCTTTTGTAGCTTGCTTTAGCCTCTTCCAAGATTATATTTGATATTCTATATGTTTTATACTCTTGAAGTTTATCGTGTGCTGTTCACCAGAGATGACGATGGATTCATTTAGTGGATTGGATTAATTTATTTTACTAACCAAGTTCCTCTTTTGCTTAGCCCCATCAAATAGTCTAAATTTCAGTGTATCCTTTATCTATCCTTGGTCTCCTTCCCTGGAGATACCTGAAATCCCCAACTGCCTGAGCAGGGGTTGGACTCGGGTGACCTCAGTCCCTCTGTGGTTCTGCCTATATTTAAACAGTAAATAAAACAACTGGAGTGTAAGTCTGTGTCTACATATGTACATTTACACACGCATCTATACATGCATATTCACCTGAAAGCTTACAATTCTTCAGGTTTCTTGGATCCCTGAGTCTTTATGCCTCATAAACATCCCAGAATTGTTCTGTGATACCTTTAGGCATTTTCAGTAGTTTACACGAAACCCACATGAGGAGTGTGGCCCTTGTGAGTGGGTCTAGGTGGGAATGAAAACAGCCAGGTCACCTAAGCTTGCTCAGGAGCAGCTCTTTATTGCTGAAAACAGTTTGGTTTCAAACTCACCTCAGTACCTGAAGCATATGGAGATCAGGGAAAACTGCATTGATGTCAGGGGTTCAGTTCCTGCAGAGGTGCATGTTTTTTGAGAGAAGGCTTTTGGTCTTTGTTTTATTAGAGTTCAGAATGTCTGAGGGTATTTTGTTCTAATTTAAAAAGGAAAATTCTCCGTCTTTCTCCAAGGATAGGGAATTTCAGTCTAAAAACGGGTTGTTTTGTGTTCATGTGAATCAGGATAGTAAAAGAGCTAACCCTATATTCATGGCAAATACCGCACACAACCGCAGTAGCTATACAAGAGTCATTAGAGGCAAGACACTGTATAAAGGATGCAATTCCCAAAAGAAGGTCAAGTAAAAAAGCAAAAAATGAAAAGAAAAAGGCATAGATAGTCCATGTTTTGCTTTATTCTTTTTCTGGTGTTTCAGTGGAGAATTTAAATGGAAGGGTTGTCTTCTCAATCTGAAGACACTTGTGTGATCTCTCATCGAGAGTGTAAGTTTGTTTCACATCAATCTATTGACATGGAAATTATGCTCAAAATGTAGAAATTGAATATCCCTGTGGCTTTAAGCAAGAGGAGGAAAGTTGTGTATTGAATACTTTCCTATGCTGTGTGTTTAGAGCTGCGGGTTTTGAAGAGGCCTTCACTGTCTCAGCTCTCCCAAGCCCTGCTCTAGCGCAACGGCCCTGGTTTGTACAAGTTAGTGGGAGGCTGTTGGACTCCTTCACTCTTCACTAATCTTTCTGCCACCAGAGATGCTCAGGTTTGGGGAAGCTGAATGTCCAGCAGCCTCCTGGTCAGCTGCAGCTTCAGGAGGAATGGGAGATGTGTTCAGTATGACAAGAGCTGCTTCTAGAGCCTAACTTGGATACGTGTGTAGGAAATAGCCATCAATTGCTCTGAAAGCTCAAATACAGAAGGTAGTAAAAAAAAGTGGGCTTAATTTTAGCTGCTGCCTCTGGGGCCTGGGTGTCCCTCTTTGGGGGAAAGTGGCTAAAATCCTGCTCTCTTGGCGGGGGAACGCGGCCGTCTTTGTGCTCGGTGACATACTGCTGCCGTGGTCTCCGTTTGTGCTGCTTTTGCTCTGCTCTTTAAGTAACTGTTCTCTTTGTTAGTGTAAATTTATGTCAGTATCTTTGTTCTGATTAAACAGGGCAATATTTGAAGATGCAGACACACTCCACTTTAATTGCCACGGAGACTGGTTTGGGCTTTAAAAAACCGCTGCTTGGTCGATGTTGGTGGCCTCAGTTGCACGTTTATATTTACACGACTGTATTTACTTAGCCTTCTTCATATTTGGATACAAGAGAGCCTTTTTAGCATCGCCTGGCACTGCCGCAGCAACTTGCCCCGTCTGAGCAGATGTTAAGCAGGCAGTAGTTGAATGTTAATTTGGAGAGGGTGGGATGGCTAAGCCCATCTGAAGTACGTTGCATGTGGGCCTTGCAGACCGAGCTACAATGCTTTGTCTCTTGGGAGAATTTTAAAGCTAAACCTCTTTCTTTTTGTCGCTCTATATGGACTCTCTCAAGTCAGTATAAAGCAGATCATCCCTAGGCTAAAGCTCTCCAGCTTTTGTTAGTGGGCTCTGTAGACCTGTAATTAGGCCTCCTGGCAGGCCTTGCAGGCCAGTTAATGGTCATATGGAGTTTCTATGAGGCAGCCTGGCTTTGTGCAAATCCTTCGCGGGGCTGCGTTTCTGGGTCACTTCCTACCAGGACCGGCCTTTGTGGCGGTGCCCCACGGGCTGCCGCGGAGCAGCTTCCCTTGACCATGGGCAGCTCAGTTTGCCGCGCACAATCCACCCGCTAATCCCCAGTGTAAACAGAGGATTTAGCCGAGCTTCTGTCACTTACCCTCGCCAAACCACTTGGGTGTCTGTGATTGCTTTCCCAGACTTCATTACCGAGCCGCGGAGCCGGGCTCGCGTCGGGGCTAGCGACTTGCTCCCTCTTCTCGCTCGTTTGCAGAAAAAAAAAAGTTTCAGGAACTCGAATCTGGTCTCACTCAAACGGGTAAAATTAAGAGAAAACTTGCAACCTTCAAAGCAGGTTGATTGTGCCAAAAAGTGTTACAAGGCACCTGTGCATCCCGAAGTTTAAAACGCGGGTGAATATTCCGAGTGCAGACGTGTCCATAGGAAGCAGCGCATGGGCGTCGTGAGCCATCGGTCCTGCCGCTCCTGCCAAAG